AAAAAAAAAAAAACCTCCCTTTTGTACTATGTGGAACAAGGAGATAACAGCTGACTCCCATGCTAGCAGTTTGGATCCTGAGGAAAAAATTTTTAAAAAAAAAAAAATAATAAAAAAAAAAAAAAAAAAAAAAAAAACAATCACTCCTTCTCTGCTCCCAGGCTTTCTCCTTATGGCTGTCACCTTTCACTGGTCCCTGCCACCACACACCCCTTACCATAGTTATTTGCCTTGAGAAGGATCACTGTTAATTTCCACAAATGAAAATATCAGCTAGAAAAGAAGGGAGCAGAAAATAACAGAAAAAAAGCAAACCTGGGATGTCCCAAAGCTGTAGATCTGACCACAACCCCAAAGGTGGCCTCTAGTCTGAATTATCAGTAGGGCTGGCTTGATTTTTCTTCCAGGGTTTCTTCCTCAAACCTCACCCCACCAAATCCCTTCTGGGGACTGGGACTTGGGGGAAATGCAATAAGAGGAATAAGGAATAACCAGGTGTCTTGGGGAAAAGGGGAAACCAGAATGTTCTCAGGGAGACAAAGAAGGAAAGACAGTGGAGAGAGGGTAAAGAAATGGGTGGGGGAGAAGGGACAGGAGAGGAAACGAAGAAAATGGGTGGCCAAGGCTGGAGAGGAAGTTCCACATGCACACTGAGCAACTGCCACCCATAGTGTCAGCCCTTGCAGCCCCAAGGGACAAACCCTGCTGTTAGGCCTGATTTGCAGAGGAGACTGGGGCTCTGGGAAATTAAGAGACTTGGCAAATAGGACACTGCTGTTAATGAGCTACTGGGATGTTCCCCCTGTGTGTCCACTACTGAGAGCAATAGGAAGGAGGATGACAAGAAGGACAGGAAGGAGTGGGACAGGAGAGCTGGGAAACAGACGGGGTCCAGGAGGAGGCAGGGCAGGCAGCTCACCACCACGCTGGGAGCTCTGGTAGACGCGATTCACTTGATTGGCGAGCTCAGACAGCTCACACTGTGTCAGTGCCTGGATGAAGGACTCCACCCAGCCTGTCCGCCGCTTGAGTGTGTTGAAGAGGTCCCACAGTGTGTCCCTATTCCCTAGGCGTGTGTAGGAGGCACGCAATCGATCCTGGAAGACAACACAGCCACCCTGCTTAAGTCAGGCAGCCTTAGCTCTAGCCCCTGCCCACTGAAGAGGGGCCACTGCAGAGGGGGCCCCAAGAAAGCTACAAGATAAAGGCAGCCACTTGAAGCCAGAGCAGGGACTAAGACAAGGCCAGGGTTAGTAACCAGGCACAGAGTCAAGAAGAGCAGTCAGCAACACAAAAGCAGTTGCCAGGAAACAGCTGTGACCAGGTCCTGCACCATCTGTTTCAGCTTTGCAGGAATCATCTCATTTATTTATTTAATTTTACTTTATTTTCGGTACTGGAGATTGAACTCAGGACCTTACACTTGTGAATAATCTCATTTAAAGCTGTGGTATAACCACTTTCCTGATGAGGAAACTGAGGCGTAAGCAGAAGCAAAATAGCAGAGATCCTATTACAGTGGGGCAAAAACTTCAACTCAGTTAAACCAAGAAAAGCCTTGAGTTTATTTATTTTGTCTTTTTGAACCAGGATTTCACTACGAAGTTCAGGCTGGCCTTGAACTCATAGCATTCCGCCTGCCTCAGCCTACTAAGAACGTACCCCACTACACCCAGCTTAAGCCCTGGGTTTAGATAGCCCCCAAAGCACAGAGAAAGGTTTGGTTAAACAGAGAGGGTAAATGTATGTAACAATCATCACAGGAAAGGAGGTAAAGAAGAAAAGAGGCAGCCATGGAGAAAAGAGAGGGCTGAGAGCACTGAGAGCATCTAGCAAGATGGTAGCAGCTGCAGTTTTCATATCGACCTGAATTCTCACATGAAAACACAAGAGGGCCTGTTGACGTAGCTCAGTGGTAGAGTGCCTGTCTAGTGTGTGCAAGGCCCCACCACACACCACACCACACATGCATGCATGCACACAGAGACAACCAAACAGCATGAATGAAACCCACAGATGTTTACTATAAATACCTGACAAGGTAGTCCAATAGCCTCCCCCAAGCCCTGCAGACTCCAGACCTGCATGCTAACGCTATCTATGTGGAAACACACACTGGAAGCAAAACACTTCTCAGACACCCAAGGACAGGACTCTTCTGGGTCCTTCAAGGAGCCCACAGGCACCCATGGGCCCACAAGTGTCCTATGAGCTGAGCTGCTAAAGCTGGGGGAGGCACTGCCACGTTGCTTGCCCCAGAGGCTGGCAATAAGTCCTGGTGGGGCGAGCCCAAGAGTCCCCAAGGTTTTTCCCAGACAGGTGGGAAGACTGGAAGAAAAGATCCCACACGGCTCCCAGGGCTCCCTGCCAGGAGAGGGTCCCATGACAAATGGAATCAAAACTGAGCAGACCAGGGCAAGAAAGAAGGAAAGAGGGAACTAAGTGGTAAATAAATGAATCAGAACCCAGAATTCACAGGGACATCAGCACCACGTTTTTTAGCACTACACAAAAACAGCGCAAGAGGGCGTCAGTGAGGCTAAAAAACACGGAAAGACACCTGACCCAAAAGGTAGAAAAGCAACAAGGTCAAGAGGACAAGAGGAAGGAGAGGAGGAAGTTGGCCGTGGCTTGGGTTGGAACTGAACTACAAACTCCATGACCTTGATCCCAGACCAGTGACGGGTGTCACTTCCCTGGCTCACCTGGTCACCGGTTGTTAGGCAGGGCAGGAAAGGAAGAATCTCCAGAACATCAACAGCCAAAAAATCACTGTGATGGTGGCGGATGAACTTATAGGTCTTCTCCTCAGGAGATGTCATGGCTGCTCAGCTCTGGAAGAAAGGATTCTGGCTCTGTGTAAGGTAGAGGGACTGAGAGACGAGCGGGCAGACTGGAAGAAAAAGCATACATGGCAACAGGGTTGGGACGGCACCAAATGAGAGGCAGTTCTTTCCCAACTTTCTGAAATTTTCTGTTTTTCTTTAATCTTTAATTTCTTTAAACATCCTATCTGGTTCCAGAGGCCTTCAAAGAATGGGCTTAAAAATGAACTGACTAGAAAGAACTAGATGTAGAAGATTCAGGATCCAGGCCAGGGAGATAGCTCAGTGACATAAGTGCCTGACTGGCAAGTGCAAGGTCCTGAGTACCGCAAAAAAAGAAAAAAGAAGATCCAGGATCCATTTCTCTGTGCTGGTTGGTCAGTGTTGGGAAGGGTCTTCTGTGTGGCCCTCACGTGTGGGGTGAAGTTCTGCATGTGCCTCAGGCTGCTGAGCCCATGACAGTATGGCTGCCCTCCTGGTCCTAAAGTGGGATGCCAAGATGTTAAGCAGGCTGCTCTCAAATACTGCTCCCTTTGCATACACGGAAAGGAAAAAGAAGCCCAATGTGGTAATAATGGGATCGTCCTACTCTAAAGATGAAGGTGATGTACCAAGAAATTTGGAGGCATGCTAGCAACTGGAAGAACAAAAAATTGAGGTCTCTGGGAGCAGGAGTGTGACTGCAGGCCCACCATTAAAGTTCTTTTCATGTTCTTTTGCTATGAGACCAAAGGGGGTTATCCAGGGCCAGTTACCAGCCTTTTCTGGGCTTTTCCTTAAAATGTTTTGTTTTGACAATATAGTACTTCAGACATAAAAACTTAAATCCTTCAAATACAAGCATCATTTATGAAGCATTTACCATATTTGCAGTTATGGAAGTGTCTGCTCATTTCTCATTTGCCTCCCCATCAGGGAGTGCTATAGAGAACAAGACAGAAAGCTCTATTCTATTATTCAATTTATAGTCTATGGGATGGGAAAGAGCAGTAAACACAGACCTAAAGAATTCCTGGAAGTAATATAGGTTATAACAAAACAAAGCAGTGTAGTGAGACAGAGTACCAGAGAAGGGCATGCTGCTTTAACTAAGGTGGCAAAGGGAGCTCCTCTGAACTGGCACATTTCAGCTGGATCAATTTCAGCCCTGAGAAGATTGGTGTTTTGAGGCCACAGCAAAATACATAAGTGCTGAAACAGTAAGAGCTTGACATGTTTACACAATAGAAAGCAGGCCAGTATTCTTGAAGCTTAGGAAGCCAGGGGGAGGGGCAGCAGTCAAGGTCCAGATGTGGCACAGCACTATAGGCTGGGACTATGTTTTTATTAGGAGTGGAACAGGGTGCCATTGAGGGAGTAGAGGGAATCTGAGACCTAACAGTCTCCCCAGCATTGTGAGGATGGGGATGGGGATGAGGACGGAAGGGCAAGGGTGGGAACAGGGAGACAAGTCAGAAGGCCACAAAAGGAGAGGCATGAAGAGTATGGCCAGGTAATCATGGACACTGGGCAGTGAATCTTGGTATGTGGAGTATGTGAGAAGTAAGGAGAGGGGAGAATCAAAGGCTCCCTATGTTGGGAGAGGAGGAAGGTGCCATTTACCAGTCATGGGAGGTGAGAGGAAACGCAGAAGCTCTGTTTTGAACAAGTGAAGCTGAAGATGGTATTGAATTCCAAGAGTGGTGTGGAGAGGAAAAGAGGCAGACAGAGCTACCAAAAGGAAAATGTCTACATCTGCCTGGGGGGGGGGGGACCAAATCCTTGCCACATGGGAGATAGGGCACCAGTCCAGTCTGGTGGCCTCACAGCCCTGTATTGCATGTCTCGCATTGTCAACCACCTGGGGCTACATTCCTGGCAGGACACACAGTAGTGACAAGAGATCAGGAGTTCAGGGAGGTAGGGGTCTTCTGAGCAAAGAACAGCTCTGTGGAGGGTTATGGAGACCTTCTTCCCTTCCCTCTTGTTATCTTCCTAAGAGTCAGGTGAGATTGTCCACTATAGCCCACCCTCAGCCCTCAAGGAACAGAGGTGTTGTGATGGGTTATGTAGCCCCACCAGAAAGAAAGGAAGCCCACATATGTTCTTTTATTGATGGGTCACCCTAAGATTCTTTCACTTAATCCTCAAAACAGCTTCAGGAGAGAGGGAGTGATACTAAGTTAGTTACACATCTGGTCAGGGTCCATGCAGAACCCAAGACTTGCTGCCTCCTTGAAGATGGGCATAGACCTTGCAGGGCTTAGAGGGCCCTTCTGCAAGTGAGAGCTACACAGTTCCCTGCCTTCAAGTCCAGAGAGGGCCCAAGGCCACCGTCGGGGTAGGGATGGGTCGCTGAGGGTGCACCCAGCAAGATGCAAAATTTAGTCTCTTCTCTTGCCAGAAATGCAGATCGTCTGGGACAGTGCTGAGAGCATTACCCCACGTCCACTAACGTTTGCCTCGGTTCCCTGGTCGCTTCACTGTACTCCAAGATGTTTTTTGGTTTTATAGCATCCATACAAAGGACGTTGTTCTTGCTTTGTTTCATTTCCATTGGTTCCCTGGCACCTCCTCTCGATCTTACAAAAAGGGAGGTGGTGGAGAGTTCTGATGCAGCCAAGTTTCCGACCTGACAGCCCAGAGGGCGTTGTGGAAAGAACACCTACCTCCCGAGGGACGGGCCTCGAAGCCTCGGATCGGGTTCCTGGATGTGCCCCAGGCAGGCTGTTCTGAGCAGGCGTCACCGCTGAGACTGGTCACTACCCGGGGGCAGGAAGTGACTCTGACTCCCAGGCGTGGCCACCACAGCCCGGTGCACCCGGCTCCGCCTCGCCTGAGGGTCACCCCGTGGCCGCAGAGGACGGAAAGAGTTCAATCCGCCTCCTTTTGGCCCAAACTTTCCTCCGACTGTAAGCAGGAGCTCTGGGCCACATCCCACCGTCCCTCCGGACGCTAGACGCGAAGGGCGGAGCCTGCGGTATCCCCAACCTCGGTGTCGCCGAGTCCCTCGCACCCTGTGCCCTCCAGGCCCGCAGCGCACCCCAAACCCCAAGTGCCCCAGCAGACTCCGAGTCCCCTTCGGCTCCGGCCGCTTCAGCCCACCTCGGCGAAGGGCGTCGGTGCATGCAAAGCCCCAGGGACCGAACACCTGGGCAGCCGACCTTACCTAAGGTAGCCACGACCTGGCAGCAGAAGGCTCGCAGAGGTCGGCCCTGAACCCTCCCAGGGCTGAGGGGCGGGGCAAGGCCGGGCCCGCGCAGTCATTGGCCGGAAGGTGGGGCGGGGCTACGCGGGCGCCTGTGCGAGGCTGTGGGGCGCAAGGCGGTACCTGGACGTGGTAGGCGGGCCTGGAAGTGCCCGGGTGGGCGGTGTCGCGTTCAGGCCTACTTTTCTTTCTGCTGGTTTTAGAGCTATTGATAGGGGAAGTCAAGGGTCCCCCGCAAACCGGTAGTCCCCCGTGCCCTGCATAAAGTGCCCAGTAAATGTCGGGTGACGTGCAAAGGTCACAGGACCTTGAGTGCCAGAGCTGGTTGTACTGTGTGCTGTGTGCAAGAGGCCTTTTCCCCCCAAAGGCCTGGGACAGTGTCTTACTCTTCCCTTGTTGCTGGGACAAATACCTGACACTCAAAATGAAGGCAGGAGAGGTTTATTTAGCTCACAGTTACTGGAGGTTTCAGTCCATATTCAGCTGGCTCCAAGGCAGAGTGGCACAAGCAAAGATCAAGAGCACAAAAAGGGCGATAGCAGAGCAGCTCAAGCGGCTAGCTTCTCTTCCCTCCTTACAGTGAAATGCAAATTACCTGCCCCAGGGCAGGTGCAGCATCCACACCCATAATAATCACAAGCTCCAGAAGCCACCTCAAGATTGCAGAAGCACCTAGACACAAACCATAACAGGCAGGTACCTCTGCAGTGCTTGCCATCTACAGAGTCCTTCTCTGCCCAAGTGGAAGACACTTCCTGGAGCACAGGCCAGTGATTATTGAACGGCCACTGTGTTCCAGGTGTAGGACTTACTGCCTTACACCTAAGGGTCAATGAAACTTTCTCACAATCTGGTAGAGTAGGTTTCGTCTTCCTATTTTGAAAAGAGATTAAGAGAATTGGGGAAATTGTTGAGCAGTTCTTACCAAAGTAAACATGCTAGCTGTATGACCCATTCATTTATTCATGGGTAGACATGTACCCAGAAACATACACACTAGATAATGTTGGTGTTGATTTTATTCATAATAGAAAAACTCCAGAAGCAGTGTAGAGGCCAGGGAGATAGCTAAGTAGAATAAGCACTTCTTGGCAAGCGCAAAGGCCTGAATTCAATCCCTGGTTCCGCCAAAAACAAACAAACAAACAAACAAAACAAAAAATTCATGACTTTTTTTTTCAAAGTTTTATTGATAAACAGCAATGAGACAGTTTCAAATCAAATCGGAAGTACAGTTTCAACAAATAATATACTGCATATATTCTCCTTAGTGGTTAATTCATGACTTTTTCAATCCCCAGTTCCACCAAAAAATAAATAAATAAATAAAACAACCAGAAGCAGTCTAGATGTCCATCAGAAAGATGAATGAAGAGACAAACTGGTGTACTCACAAAATGGAATTATAGACAGCAGCAAGAAGAAACAACTCTCCGTATACACAGCATACATCATGGAGCGCTATCCTCGTGGATGATGGGCTTCATGGAAGATCAATGGTGCTTAATGGTGTTCTAATGGAGCGAAACGTGAGAGTACATATCTGCCTCTCGTTAGCTAAGTCTCAACAACAGGTAGAACTAATGTTCTAATAGGTTGCTAGTAGAAATCCGAAGGGAAGGACACATCAGCTTCCACATCAGTTTTGTATATTGATGTGAATGGTGGGTATCATATGTAAAAATGCATCAAAGATACACATAAATTTGTTACAATTTTTAAAGAGAGAGTATAAAAGATTGGCCCCAAGATCACAGACCTGGCTTCAACCAGTGTTTCCAAATTTAATCATTGGGAGATGGAAGCTGGAACACTTTTCTTTTTTTCTTTTTTTTTTTTATTATTTTATGTGTGTGTGTGTGTGTGTGTGTGTGTGTGTGTGTGTGGCCAGCTCAGCCCACCAGGGGGTGGGGCTGGCTGGCATGTGGTGCTGGGGGATTGAACCGCGGTCCCTGTGCTTTGCTAAGCTTGTTCTAAGTAGGTGCTTTAGACCACTGAGCCATCTCACCAGCCCTGGAACACTTTTCAGTGAGATTTTATTACTGTACTCAGTGGCCCTGTAGCTACATCATGACTGTTGGCATTAACAAGGTATCTTAAATCATACCCCAACAGTAATAGAGCCAGCTGTTCCTTGTTCATGGAAAAGAGGGTGAATGTTGATTAGTTGAAGAATTAATCCTGCCTGCAACTCGCCCTGACTCCAGGGGCCTCAAATCTCATTATTACAGAAGAGCATTGAGAATGTGGAGATCAGCTTCCAAATGTAATTTCCCAATGCAGTTGTCACCTCTGTCTTTGTTAGACTTTGTAGGAGATTAAAACAGTCCAGTTTCCTGGCCTCCGTGGGTCCCTGTCTCCCATCAACAACTTTTAAAAATCTAGACAAAGAGGAGCACACATTCTCATCTGTGTTTTTCTTATCAAAACCTCATAACCTAAAATAAAATTTAAAAAATTTTAAAACTCACAACCTAAAGTTAGTCATGAGACAAAGCATCACTTGCTAACTCATATAATAGCTGCCCAATACAATAGCTAAGAGCCACATGTAGCTACTTTAATTGAAAATTAAATGAAATTTAAAAGCCAGTTCTGGAGCTCCATTAGCTGCATCTCAGATGTTAAATTCATCTGGTTAATGGTTCTTATATTGGAACTGAACAGCACTTCAGTCATCCTAGAAGGTTCTGTTGGTCAGTGCTGCTTTACAGAGTAAGTCTTCAAAAATGCCAAGGTCCTGAATGACAAGGAAAGACTGGAAGCCAGGGATGCTGACCTACACCTGTAGTTGCAGCATGTGAGAGGCCAAGGCAGGAGGATTGCCAAGAGCTCAAGGCCAGCTTGGGCTACGTAGTGACTTGAAGGCAAGCCTGAACTGCATGGCAAAACCCTTTCTCAAAAAACAACAACAAGAAGACAGGAGCAGTGATAGATTCAAGGAGACCAAAGTGTCAGGTCTCACTGAATGTAGTATGAGATCCTGAAACAAAAAGGGTGTCAGTGGGACAAAGGATGAAATTTAAATAAGGCTTTTAGGTTAGTTAATGATACCAGTCAGCGTTAGTGTTCTGAATTTATTATACCACAGTATGTAAGACACATACATATTATTTTTACAATTGTGTTGTAAATATGATTTTTTTTTTTTGTACCAGAGATCAAACTTAGGACCTCACACTTGCCAGGCAGACATTTGTATCACTGGGCTATCTTCCCAGCCATAAGTATGAAATTATTTCTTTTTTTGTTGTTGTTTTATTGATTTTATTGAGAAACAAATAGCAATGAGACAGTTTCAAAACCGGTCAGTAGGACAATTACAATAATTAATACATTGTATATTGTTGTCTTAGTAGTAGTTTTTCATAGTACAAAATGCAGACATTATATCTTATCCAAACACTATTAGTACAAATCTTTCTTCTGATTGAATTAAGAGAAAGTAGCTGTATATCTATCTTATTTTGTATATACAGATATATATTATATATATATATATATATCTTGCTAGCACAGTTTCAATAATTAATACAATTGAAATTATTTCAAAATTCTAAAACAAAATAAATCTTTATGGGTTTTTTTCCCCAGTACTAGAGACAGAACCCACACACATGCTAGACAGGCATTCTACCACCTGAGCAACACTATTTTGCCTCTTTATCATTTATTGAATCCTTCTGTATTTTATGGGTGCAATTCATTGATAATTGGGCATTTATTAGTGGACGCACCTCTCTCAAGTTAAAGTTTATCCCAGGCACACATGTCAGTACTCTAAGGGGGGCTGGGACCCACATGTGATGACTCAGCAGCCACTAGCTCACATTTCCCCCAGAGAGCAGAGGTCAGAGCCAAAGACAGTCCGAGGGCCCCCAGAAGGGTCATGGTCTCATGGCTGAGTCCTTCAGGAAATTGTCCCCAACTGAAAAGCATATCTCTTATGACTGCATTTCTTTTTCCAGGAGAAATAGCTTTATTTGCACTGAGAACTGGAGAATGAGTAGGGCCTAAGAGAGGATATCGAGCTAACGATAGAGCTCAGCTTCTAAAAGGGCAGTCAGGGCTCATCAGCTGAACAGACTGCTGTATTTCCAAGCAGGCTTTCAGTTCGTATAATCAAGAAAGACCTGCAAGGAGCCAGGCATGATGGCACAGCATGTAATTCCAGCACTCCGGAGGCTGAGGCAGGAGGGTATCTGTGAGTCTGCTGGGAAATATATTTGCCACTACATCACCTCAGTGGGTCACCATTACAATAATGATACAAGTTTTCCAATGTAATGAAATGTCCCGCAAACATCCCAATTGACAAGTATTACAACAAGAAATGCAAATAAGATCCCATTTGACAGGTGTTAAGTTTGTCTTCAGCATTCAGCTCAGAGATCTCACCATCTTCCAACACTGCTCCCTGCTACTCTTGAAGCAGCCAGAGGATGGCTTTTACTAGCCCACGGGATCCACTTCCGTGTCCCCGTGGGCCAGGACTGAAGAGCAGGGGAAGGCTCAGGAAGGGGGTGGGGCGGGCTAAATCCCCCCAGCACAGGGGGTGGCAGCTGAAGCTTGATGGGCAAGCAGGGCTGGAGAGACTCGAGGGACGGTCCAGGCTCTGTATTCAGTCAGTCACTGCTGGAAGAGGAGGAACGCTCACCATGCTTGTGGTGTTTGTGGGCCTTTTATGCACTTTCTTCATTTTCTTCTGCATCTTCTTGTCCATCGACATCCCTGGGCCCACTATGCCAGGGCCCAGAGGGTTCACAGGAGACATGGCAGTTTAGGGACCTGTGTGTTGGTACTGGAGGGCTGTGGTGGGGGCACAGGATAACTGGGCCCACACGGAGGGAAGGTGGATTTGCTGGGGGAGCACCAGGGGAATGGGGCCGGGGCCAGGAGGAAAGGCTGGGCTGACAGGTGGCAGATACGGTGGACACACAGGATAGG